GGAGGCTGAACCAGTGATGGAGAAAACGCCGACCCGCCCTGCAGGAGGGGGAGGAGATAAAAGCGATGAAGAACTTTGAGGTTGGCTCGTGGTCGTCGTTCCTCTTCAGAGCATCTGCTCCACAGGCTCCGCCTGCTGCCTGGAGGGAGGAAGGACTACTCGCGGTCTCACCATCAGCATCATCCTCTGGAACAGAGGACGAGACGAAGACAGGAGGTGAAGGCTGGTGACGTCAGCACCACCGCGCTCCGCCCCCACCGTCACTCTGCTGTTGTCTCCGCCCATCAGCGAGATGTGGTCTTTGACCCAGCGCAGCGCTGCCTCCTGGTCCGAGAGGCCGTAGTTACCACGGAGACCAGACTCACCTGGAGAAAGGGGTGGAGAGGAGGCCAGGTGAGTCATTTAGCGTGTGTGTTCTTCTCTCTTTGTTTGTTTTTAAGTCACCTGTGCTCAGGAATCCCAGCGCCGCCGTCCGGTAACTCGCTGTTACCACGACGATATTACCCATAGCAGCGAGGATGGAGCCGTCCAGCAGTCCTGGGTTCTCATTGGCCGAAGGGTTGAAGAAGAAAAGCAGGACTGGAGCACGCCCCCTCTGGTTTAACAGCAAACAGAAATGTGATCAAAGACAATTAAACGTGAATAAATGAAATAACGAGAGCGCCGAGTTTTCACCAGGTCAGCAGGAGTGAAGATGTTGAGGTGGAGACAGTCCTCACTGGAGGCTGCAGAGGCTGCGTCACCAGGCTGGATGCAGCTGGCGCTGACGGCGAAGAGATAAAGATCATTTATCAGGTTAATCTGGAATCTGCAGATAGACAACGCCACTTCCTGTACAGGTGAGGCCGCTGTTTTTCACTATATCCTGGTTGTGGGTGCCTTGGGTGACCACGTGCTGTAGGACAGGCGTTTGTGGTCACGCGGGTAGTTACCGTGGTTTGGTGGCGTCCCAGGTTCCCGTCCACTCAGCCGGCTGAGCTGCTTCAAAGCGGAGCGATCCTATTGGAGGACGAGCGTACGGGACTCCGAGGAACTGAATGACCGTCCTCCTGTCTGATGCCAGTGCTGTTTCCACGGCGACGCCTTGCAGCACCCCCTGGCCCGGGATAGAAACGGACGTACGCGACAGCTCTGAGAAAACGCCGCGTCTCAGGTACACCTGGGGGGCGGGCTCTCTCACGACCAGTCGACAGGAAGACGAGGCGGGGGATTCAGGGGCGGAGCTTAGGCCACAGACTGTCGTGTCAGGGTACAGAACGCAGCGCGTGGCGGACTCCACCTCACTGAGTGACACAGCGGCACAAGACTCCGCCTCCTGGCAGGCTGATGGGAAGCAGAGCAGAGTCAGGATCTGACAGCGAGACACCAAAGAGTAGTAAAAAAACCCACATATGGTTACCATGGAGACACCAGTCCCTGGTCTTATCTCTGTCACCGGCGATATCACGGCTCACGTGGATGACATCATAGGTAGAGAGAGACGGGTCGACGAGGACTGAAGAGTCGGCGAGGAGGCTCCAGTCGTCCAGCGAAACTGTGACAGGATACTCAGGGGTGAGCGATAAAAGAAGTAACGGCAGTACTTTATGTACTTTTGACAGTATTACTGCGAGTATCTGCATGTGGGCGGAGTCTTACTGTTGGTTCTGGTCGGTGGCAGGCTGAACGGAGGACAGAGAGCAGGAGACGAACTCCACTGATTCACTGCAAAGAAGGACAGCCTTTATTCACACAGAGCTCCGCCTCCTGCAGCCTCATGTTCAGATAAACTGAAGGTGT